AAAATATAAAAAGATTGCAAATAACAAATAATTGAAGAAACAAATATGTGATGAATATTATGACATAACAATTTCATCTATTGATCATCTTAATTCTTAATTCAAGATTCATAAGTTAATATAGTATTCGATCGAATTCTTCTATTTTATTCAATTTGCCCTTCTCGAATTCTTATCGAGTCTATTTAACTAATTCAATTACATATCTCTATGCAAATCAATTTTAGTTAAACGAAATACTAGTTCTAAGAATTCATATTATGACCGCAATAACTAGTATAAGTATCTCTACACGTTATACTAATTTACCGGATTTTACTATATGGTCTAAATCTCAAACTCACATCTCGATTCGTAAAAGACTTACATAATCATCAAATCATTGATCAGGTAATTTTATTTATTAAACTCAAAATAAAACCAACACATAAATAAATAAATCACATAAATCCCGAATAAAAAAAATAAAGAATCACAAGTCGGCTACATTGTTTTTCCTATTATAAAAATTAGTTATTCATATTGTAAAAATAAGAACACGCAAAAGTGGAAAGATATCACCAAAAATTGACGAAACGTGAAAATTTATGGTGTTTGCGTTTCTTGTTTTCTTCTTTCTCTTTTCTTCTTTCCGTCGCTTTTTCCTTAGCCGTAATTTTTGACTTTCCCATTTTTTTCTTCTTTCTCTATTTTCAGCGCCCCCCTCTCAGCGCCTCCTCTCGCCGTGTGTGTGTATATATATATATGTTTAATTTGGACATTCAATTAAAATTTTCAATATAAATTTATTGATACGCATTTAACTCGACCACATTTAATGTAAAATTTCTCTCCAATGTTTCATATTTGAATTTTGCCATTTTTCGCCACTTTTGCATTCTTTTCTCCAATTCTTCATTAAACATAAATTTTTATCTACAAAACGCAATATAACATAAATTATGTAGAATTTAATCCAAAAGACAATAAAATATCATGATTTAGGGCCACGAATAAGCGTATAAACTGCACTTATCACACCCCAAACTTAAATATTTGTTTGTCCAAAAACAAAATTAAAACCTAACAAACCCACAAACAAGTAATGCTAATTACCTAATTGGTGGCCAGTCAATCAAGTAAAGCAACAAGATTTAGTTAGCTAGCCTGACTTTTTATCTCGAGTTTGAACTCACGAAAACAAATCTATACACAATTTCAAAATCACAATACAAAAAGTAAAATCAATTTTTTCAATGTAAAATCGACATGTGTGTGAAGAATTAAGCATAGCATTATGTATTCATAAATTGTTTCGATTCCCCAGACACTCAATGGTCAAATATGTTCTTTTATCATTCGTAAGATTCACACACCCCCAAACTTATTCTTTTAACTCTTTTCTAGTGTGTGAACTAAAGTTG